TGATTATTCACCACTTAACTCTAGCGTTGCCAAATCTATCAAAACTGGACTTTGTTCAATATTTCAATACACTAAACGCCTAAAGAAACGTTACCCTCCTTCCTTAATGACGGAGGTTCCTATCTACAGCTAGCGTTGTGATGCGTGGACGTCCACTTCTTGGTCTGTCTACGGTGCCCCTGTCTGTCTGAAGCCCTGAATACGTCTTATAACCGTGATACGGTGGCATCCGAGGCGGTTGTCAACAGCATTGCATGTCGACCCCATCTGCATCATCCCAATGGATCTTTCTCTCTTTTCAGCTGTTAATCGTGGCATATTTCTCGTACTTGTGTATCATATCATGTATTCTAGGCCCTCTTCATACCCTATAGAATCATTCTACATGTGAAATGAATGGAAATACTGCTTGAATATTGCTGCGTTTTGGCAATTGATATTGCTATGTGTAAACAGAAAATGGAAAAATGTTACTATGTTAACAAAGATAATTTTTGATGTCCCTATACATTTTTCCACAATATCAAAGACACGTTTTACTTGTTTTCACTTATGCAAATTAGCAAAAAATGTTTTAAAAGACTGAGATCATAGGAGTGATTATTTTACAATTTTACACACTCTACAGCAGTTGCTTCTTGTTTTAATAGTTCAAAAATGGTGACTTTAAATGATTTACCTTTGTCTCAAAGCAGAATTTTATTTCAACCTTTTTCCTTTTGACATCTAAGTCACTGTTATTGATTTATTTTGGCATGGACGAAAATAGGACAATTTAACTCTTCTGAAAGAGATGCATTTCACCTAAATATGAATACATTTGAGAATTTCTTTTCGTTATTTGCATAAAGCTATGTTGTTAAGCTTTCTTCTAAAGTAATACCTTCTAACATATCTTTGATTGTTTTGAAGTAATTCATAAAAGTAGGAGGGTAACGTTTCTTTTGGCGCTTAGTGGTATGTATCGATATACTGTACGTTCTCTGTGTCACTATATGTGATTTTTGAGAATGAAATTTCGGTTCTATTCTGTTCTGTTCAATAAAAGAATTAGTAATATGTTTTCAGAAGGCCACAGGAAATACTAGTGTGGTGTTACTATATTATATAGTGACTCCGGGCCAGCTCATTAAATAAATAGGGGTGGACAGCATGGCTCAGCTAATTAGTGTACTCAATGAATCTGTTGGGAGTGAACCATTCTCACAGCTTAAAGATTGATGGGTAGCTTTATGCTTAAACCGGTTCACTCCCAAAATACAGACCACCAATAAGACTCAGGACGCCATGCCACCCTTTAATGTTTAAGCTGTGAGAATCCCCAACACGACGAAGGGCTAATTAATATGCGGAGGCGTGTCTCACGACTGAGTGGTTACAAAGAACTGGCGTTGTTCATTTCAGAAATGTACCAGTGTTGTCGGTCACTCTATGACAGATCTGTCACAGTATATGTCAATCATAAGGACATATGTTTTTATAATGGCTACTCATGACAGATTTATCTTTCATCAAACAAATAGAAACTCAACGTTATTTTGCCACGTCACAACGTAATGTTGCTACGTCACATGGGATTAACTTTAACACGTTTAATGGGAGTCTTTCTCCATGTCCTTATATGGACATGATCGTCTGGGGATTAGTTTAGGAAAATGTGTCCCATAGGTCGACACGTGACATATATTTCCCCAAACTAGAGGATGAGTGAGTGAGTTGTGTTTTACGCTGCTTTAGCTCACCAAGGGAGGTAATAAAATTATCGGGCCGAGCCATCGATGCATCCAGGGTACTTGTGGAGATTTATCGGAACATATACCCTGGAGATTATCGAAGATGCATTAAACACTGTAAGCCATACATCTGACCCATTAATGCTAGCAGGCAAATTATTGTTCAAAGCTTTCTTCACATTGAAATAAAACGCATATATAAAGTAACACGATTAAGTCACTCTCACTCTTTATTAATGTCATAATCTTCATAACAAACTATAAATCACAACATCTGGAATGAACATCACCCTAAAGTCAGAGAATAATAGAAATATCAAGCACATCACTTGCAACGAGCATTCATGAACACACAGTTTATTTTGATATCTAAAAAGTCGACACACTGATAGTTGAATCAGTTCCAGTTGATTATTTCATTATTTAACACAACAGTCATCAGTATTCTAGCAACACTAGGAGTAATATAGTATGGGCCAGACGAAGCAGTGACTGAAGGATAAATCAAAATCCCTCTAGCAACACAAGGAGTAATATAGTCTGGGCCAGACCAACCAGTGACTGAAGGATAAATCAAAATCCCACAAGATCAGAGTACCTTATAGGTACCATCCTGAAAAACTGGGTTAGAATTGATCTTCTGCAACCCATTCCGGTGATGAGACTCACAGACCTGAATGATAAATGGTATCGTATCACAACTGGCTGAAAATTTCATCCCAATCACTGGATCGTCTGGTACAGATTTCATTTCTTACATCAAGCCTTACAGCTGGAATTATGCTGAGAGTGTTTAATAGCAAATGATCAAACAAATGATCAATCACGTGATCAAACACATGGCACATTCGGTCACTCTAGCAACAAGCAATGGAATCGGTGGACCTGTTGTAACCAGATCCACTCAGGTTCTGGCTGATGAATATAGCACATTACAAAATCTACATCATAAATAACAGTAAACATCTAGCTGACTAGAAATATTCATCAGTATTGCATAATCATATCACACTGTACACGCACTCCCTATTTCAATGAGGAATACATCAACAATCAAGATTGTGTAAATTAGTAGGGGAAGACATGGCTGACCTCTGTGTTGAAGGTTGCCTATACTCTGTGATCTTGTACCCATATTCTGGCAATGTGCAATTAGTGCCTGGTATCATACAAAGGCATTGTCTGTGTGTAAGTAGGTTTATCATCATATGTCAGATACATCATAACACTGGACCAGACAATCCAGTGATTGACAGCGTGAACATCGAAATATGTAACAACAGTCTGTTTGACTCAAAAGCAGACCGATGAATTGCAATCTAGGATAAAATTACATGCATTATATTAGTAACTCAGTATTATCTCCCAATCACATCTTCAAATGTCAATGTCTAACAGCACCAATTTTAACCCAGAATATACAAAGTGGAATACAAATTATCTCAATCAAATTTTCTTGTGACCATCCCTGACTTGTTTGACACATGTCATCATATCCCAAATGCGTAGATCGATGCTCATGCGGTTGATCACTGGATTGAGTGATCCAGATTTGATTATTCACAGACCACAGTCATATAGCTTGAATATTGCTGAGTGCTGTGTTAAATAAAAAACAACCATCTTGTGACCTTCATGCAGACCCATGTCTAGTTTCCCTTTAAGAAACACCTACGTCCTGGAAATATGACATGAAACCCTTAAAGCAAAGACACGGTAATTACATGATTAATTGTTGTTTAATGCAGCAGTCAGCAATATTTAAGTGCACTGCTGTCAAAAAATAATCAAATCTGGACCAGACAATCAAGTGACAGACATCATAAACATTCATCCATGCAACTAAGACAAGAAGTCATCCATCCGTAGGGCAGTGAGTCTGACTATCTGATACAGATGGTCGCTTCTTATGACAAGTACAGGTTAATGAGGGGCCTACATTCTTACCCAGAGTCGTCGCACTTGGCAAATATTCATAAAACAACGTAACTCATCAGAACAGTGAGTGAGTTTGGTTTCATGCCGCCTTTAGCAATATTCCAGCTATATCACGGCGGGGGACACCAGAAAAGGGCTTCACACATTGTGAGTGAGTGAGTTCGGTTTACGCCGCACTCAGCAATATTCCAGCTATATGATGGCTGTCTGTAAATAATCGAGTCTGGACCAGACAATCCAGTGATCAACAGCATGAGCATCAATCTGCACAATTGGGAACTGATGACATGTGTCAACCAAGTCAGCGAGCCTGACCACCCGATCCCGTTAGTCGCCTCTTACGACAAGCATAGTCGCCTTTTGTGGCAAGCATGGGTTGCTGAAGACCTATTCTACCCGGATCTTCGAAGGGTCTTTCACACATTGTACCCATGTGGGGAATTGAACTCGGGTGTTCGGCGTGACGAGCGAACGCTTCAACCACTAGGCTACCCCACCGCCCCTCATGAGAACAGGCAGCTCTAATGTATTTGTTTCTTTAAAAATGTGACAATTACTTCAATCACAAATGTTTTGAATTTCAAAAATAACAAGAAAAAATTGTGTCCAGGGACACGGATGCCCCCGCTGACATTCATAAGATATATAAAGATCAATAATTGAACAAAATTCACGAACAAGTTCAATAAACATCTATGTAACTATGAGATGCACACCTTTCGAGTCCTAATGAAACACATGTATAAGCTTAATCAATTCTGTTGAGCAGTTTTTGTGGAGAAGTGGATAGACTTAATCCCTTATTTCACTATCATCAGAGGGAAATTCAACAAAATTTATCTAAGTTCAAATGACTCTAAACATACACAAAACTATAAAATACAAAAACAAAATATGAGATGCACACCTTTAGAGTCTCTATAAAAGACATATGTAAGCTAAATGAGTTTTGTGCAGTGTTTTTTTAGAAGAAGTGGATAAAGTACACCCCCTGTTGTATGGGACGAACAGGATGAATAGAACCAAATTCATCTAAGTTCAAACATCTGTAGAAGTGACAAAATTAAGAAATTGCATAAACAATTATGAAATGCACACCTTTAGAGTCCCTACAAAAAAAACATGTAGAAGTTCATTCAATTCTGTTGAGCAGTTTTGATGGAGAAGTGGATAGACTTCATCCCCTATTACACTATCATCATAGAGAAATTCAGCAAAATGTACCTAAGTTCAAATGTCTCTAAACTTACAAAAAAAAACAATAAAATTAAAAAACAAAATATGAGATGCACACCATTAGAGTCCCAAGAAAGCCCATGTATAAGTTCATTGAATTCCACAGAGCGGTTATGGTGGAGAAGTGGATAGAATACATTCCCTGTTTCGTACGGACGGACAGACACCGAGGGTAACCCTATATGCCCCCAGCCATATATGGTGGGGGCATAACAAAATCCTGTCTTGGAATGGAAGTATTTTTTTTGCAAGTCCCATGTATAAATACCCTACTTGTCATAAGGACCATTTGTAAGACAACATTCAGAATTTTGTCAACAATTTCCTTTTCAAAGCAACATTCATAATCTTTACGGACACAGCAAACATATGAAATAACATCTTTGTCATCATACCCATCAGATCCCCGGGAACCCATGATGTTGTGCTGATTAGATGTAAATTCAATTCACCAATGTCAACATATACATAAATATTAGATGATTTATGTTCAAATCTATCACTAACCAGCACTCAGTTCAACACAATGACCTTCACCTTTAACCATCACCTTACAGAATATAAAACACCAAGAAAACGTCAGTGTCAATCTGTATCCTCAACATCCGACCCATACATCTGATTCACAGGAGTCTGTTGGTCCTCTTTGTGGTAGCAGCTAATCGATCATTGGCCCTGTCTACGGAATCCGTCAGAACGTCCAGCTTCTCATTCTGAATATCCTCCTCGTGTTGGACGGCCAGAGCCATCGATTTGAGATTGCTCAAGGTTGCGGTCAGTTGGTCAACCTCCTGGTCACTGATCACCTCCTTGTACATGGAGGCCTGTGTTTGGCCGTCGTTCTGGACATCCACGTCATCCACTAGTCCAGACAAATCATACTTCCTGCTTGTGCTGTTTGATTTAGCGTTAACGGTGGTCTTGTCGGATGTCTTGTCTGACACTGTTACTGATGATGTTGACACACTCCTGGATGCTGGAAAATAAATATACAGAACATCAGACTTGCTGCTAGAAGTCACAGGTTCAAGGTGTCATTAAACAAGGTTTAAGTACAAACATGGGGAATGGACGCAGACACCCAAACTCCTGCCGCAGACACCCAAACTCCTGCATTCAAAGAGACCCACAGAAGTAGTTATCTGTGTCTATTATTTCACCCATCATGGCGACTGTCCACATGACCACATGTCCACATGACCACTGTCCACATGACCACTGTCCACATGTCCACATGTCCACATGACCACTGTCCACATGACCACATGTCCACATGACCACTGTCCACATGACCACTGTCCACATGACCACTGTCCACATGTCCAAATGACCACATATCCACATGACCACTGTCCACATGACCACATGTCCACATGTCCACATGACCACTGTCCACATGTCCACATGACCACATGTCCACATGACCACTGTCCACATGACCACATGTCCACATGACCACTGTCCACATGACCACTGTCCACATGACCACTGATTCATTCCAGTAATTATCTATACACCATTTCAAGACTTTACAGGACCCTCATATTAACAGCAAGGACCTGTAACATTTATTGATGGGTTCCTATTGCCCCCCACTTTGGTAAGTCAAGGTAAAAGCCTGATTAAAACTTGAAATACAGTATCATGGTACTGGGAGTGGAAAGAACTTTAAAATTTCTAGTGTACTCTGGTACAGTCGCACATGTAAAATCACTTGCCCTGATAATTTTTCCACTATACTGGCCGATTTTCTTGCTGATTTATTAAAAAGGCAACATATTTAACATTGGAAAGCCAAATGGACACTGGTACAGTGTGATATACAAATCTGCTTGCCTGACAGAACAAAACACGGGACTGGGATGTCGGGCATTGGGTTATTTCCACCCTTGGGTACACTGATATTGTGACAATGATGTTTACTCACTGCAAAGTGAGACCTACAGCATAACTGGCAAGGTATAAAGAAACAGGGATAGTGAAATATTCAAGATTACTGTACTTATATGTGCATGAACATATATGTAATTGTGGTTGTGTGGCTGCTTGCAATAGCCTTAACTAAAGTATGTCTTTTATTAGCCCTGAGATACCATCCAGGGGTTAATCATACAGATACAATATACTGACTCCAATCTGACGAGTCCAAGTCATATCACCTTAAAGACAAGGCAGGGAAACCATCTCTCACTGCCATGAGGTGTAACCCAACCAGGGATCAAACCACAGACCTTCTGTCCTCCAGGCAGACACTCAACCCACTCGACTACAGATATGGTCACAACATCACTAATACTAATGTCCAAGATATTTTTATGGATTAAACTTCTTTTTACCCGTCACTATGACGTCATAACTGAGTTATGACGTCACAATGCAAGTGACATCACAGTACACTAGGGAGAGTACTGTATAAGTGAGTTTGAAGAGTTAATTACATAATGATAAAAATTTATGCTAAATAATATTTAGCTGTGGGAGGCTGTGGAGATAAGGAGACATAAACCAGCAATGAATCGTGATCAAGGTGTATACCTGCCAAGTGTGTGGGGCCTCTTGATTAACTTTTGATGAACTTTAGATAAAAGAAAAACGAGTCTACTATTCTTTTTGGAAAGCCTGCTATCAAGTAACTTTTGTGTAATTAGCAGTTATTGTGTATTGACAATTCAACTTTCTACTCTATTATTTAGCATGAATTTTCATCATTATGTAATTAACTCTTCAAACTCACTTATACAGTACTCTCCCTAGTGTACTGTGATGTCACTTGCATTGTGACGTCATAACTCAGTTATGACGTCATAGTGACGACGTCATAGTCCTAACTGCCAGTTCACCTGATGAAGGGACCTGGAATGGTCTCGAAACGTCGTGAGAGAAATTAAAAAGAAGTTTAATCCATAAAAATATCTTGGACATCAATGTACAACTTCTAAATGCCACTGAAAGACATCAATAATACTAGTTACAATCCATGATACAATAACTACTGACAACTTCCATCTGATATTTAGATCCAATATGGAAAAATTCTTCTTCACAAAGGAATGCTTTCTAGGAGAAAACCAAAAACTAAAAACACAACAACAAAATATCATGTGATGTAAAGGCTGGATTGGAACTGCAGGAAGAAGAGCTCTTAAGCATGATTGTGTACTAGAGTTAGAGTTATCTGCTCTTGTTGAGCACAAGGTCATGGCAAGCTTCAGACATTTCTTGATGGTGAGGTTTCTGGAAGACTGGCTGCACATATAATAGTGCAGGAGGGCCACCCAAGTCCCTGTTCAACCTGAGATGTTTCAAACCTACTTGCTTGCAAAACATGGTTTGGAAACATATGGAAACACCAATTCCTGACTGCTTCCAGCACTATTCTGGATTCAAAAACAGAAACTGAAGTCTTACAAGACATTTAACAGTGACAATATTCTGAACATTCATCAGGGCACTGACAACAGTTCTGGAGTCTGTTCTGCCGTGATATTGCTGGAATATTGCTAAAAGTGGCGTAAAACTAAACTCACTCACTTACTCTGGTGCCTGTGACTTAATGTTACTGCCACTATTTGATCCACTGTATTGCTGCCTTCAAACCACAACTGTGAGTTCAAATGATTTATTGATCATAAGTGATCCTTTATTAATTTCAAACTATAGTTCAAAGGTTAACCTCTCCATCTCACACCTAAAAAACAAGTTAACAATCACGATAATAGTGTCTATTCTTACCCGCAGAGGTGTCATATTGTTGAAGACGATGCTGTACAGTCACATCATAATCAAGTTTCCGTCTGCCAGGGCCAAATAACTCTATCTTCCTTAAAATGTGGATCAGGTTTGCGCAGACAATGGCATAGCTCAGATCAGAAGACCCGATGAAATTCTGTGTGACAACCATCTCCCAAGGGCTGGCAACTCTTATAGTTGATATCATCGACCAAGTGAAATGCTTAATGATCTTCTGTGTGAGATTGAGGATTGTGACGCCATCAGCAGATATTCGTATCACTCCATCCTTCTGAGAATGAAATTTTTTACTGTCAATCACTGAATACAACATTTCATAGTCAAATACCTGTGGGACATCATTGTCCTTTAGGATGATCGGATCAACATGGATATATTTCTTCGGCATCTGCCATCGTCCAAGCCAAGCCTCGAGGCCAGAGACAACATTGGCTACAACATCAAGGTCATTATGCAGGTCATCCATGGTTGATATGGAGCTGTCAATCTGTTCCCCTTGTTGGGAAAGCCGAGTGGCTGCATGTTGCAGGGTCTGTTCGGAGTCTGTGGCGATCCTCAGAAGATTGGTCCCAAGTTTCGTCCTTTGACCTTCTGGGATGCTTTTGACCTTGGAAGACTCTGACAGAGTGGCAGCGCTCAGGAAAAAATGATTTATTGCCGAAAAGACGGATGACCGGTCCTGGAAGGAAGAAAACCAGTGTGTGTGTCCTTTACTGTCCACGATAGTTATCGCACCAAAAATGAAGGAGGATGAAGCTTTCTTCATCAAAGCAATCTTGGAAAACTTTATCACTAGGTCACCTGTAAGAACTGGTTTCTTTGACTCATCATGAAATGCCACTCCATCAGCGAACACGGAGAACTGCCCATACACCCACTTCCGTAGTGGGCTCACGTAGTACGATGCGTACCACTTGCGTATCGCAACGTTCATCTTGCTTCAGATATCAGACAAGCTGTTCACACACCTGCAATATAGAATTAATGTAATCAATAATGGCTTGGGATCTATTGACATTCAACTTAACCACACAGATCAACTCATCACCCTTAACAGAATCAAATTCACCATGTCGGATTCTGATACTTGTATATCGAGAATTCAACAATCAAATTATGTTAACATCTTACACAACTTGGTATAATGCATGTGCTGATAACTGGAGGTGACTATTGAGGGGGCAGCAACTATTGCGATAGCGATAGTCTATTGTGAGGTGAGGTGAAATTGGGTTTAACGTCGTGCTTGAGAATATTTCGCTCATATGACGACGTGCATGCGTTTGTATGTGTATGTGAGGCTGCTTGTACTAGCCCAGACTGAAGCTGGTTTTATAGTGCTAGCCCACTGAGATACGACGCCGCAGTGAAGCATGAATACCCCACTCAGACACATTATAGTGACTCCGAGCCGACCAGTCCTTGTTGTACCCATAAATGCCGAGCGCCAGGCAGGGACCAACAAGTACCATATTTTAACGTCTTTTGGTATGACGCGGTCGGGGATCGAACCCACAACCTTCCGCTCTGGGCGGACGCTCTAACCACTACACCACATAGTCTATAGTGACCAACTATTGCAATAGTTTTTTCTCCTTGCATTGTCTCATTTGAAGTCATTTCTCAAATGAATGTATAGTTTATATGAAATAAAAAACAAGCTGCAGTAGTTTCAGTCTCTTTTGATAACTGACAAGAAACTTGAAACCCAGATCAAGTAAACAGTTAAAACATAAACTCAATGAAGCTGAAAGTCTGCACCCAAACATCCTGTATTTTGTGCTGCGCATTTATCAAAGGAAGTCAATTACTAAACTATCGATAGTCACATTTACTATCGATGCATCGATAGTTTTGGTTTTTACCATGGATTAATTTTGCTATCGAGACTCAATAATTGCAATCCATCGATACTTTGATGCATCATTACAGGGCTATTGATAAGGCCTAAAAAAATATGATGTGGTTCCGATTACCTGACCGACCCTTGAAATCTGGTGCCGACCCTAGTTTTTTAGAGGTGTGAATAAAATAAGCTTTCAGATACCATTGGTTTTTTCCTGGACATTGGTCATTCGGATATAGAAAGTCGACATGATGGCCGCAAGCTTGATTGAATAACCCCTGGACCCCTGGGGGACTTACCATTTTAAATGCTAATGCATTTAAATAATATCTAAATGAATGAAATAAAATTAGATATTCGTACAAAGTGATTCCAGCTTGGGGTTTTTTTCATATGAAAATTGTTATCCTAAAAGCAGCATGACAACATTCTCTTAATGAAAAACATAATGCAATATTCTCAATAAATGTTGTTGTAGTTATAAGTAATCTTTGTAGAGGTGACTTGTGTTTCACTGATAGGGCAAATATATAGAGGAAGAGTGAGTGAGTGATTTTAGTTTATGCCGCTTTCAGCAATATTCCAGCAATATCACGTCGGGGGACACAGAAATGGGCTTCACACATTGTACCTATGTGGGGAATTGAACCCAGGTCTTCGGCGTGACGAGCGAACACTTTAACCATTAGGCTACCCACCACCCCTATAGACATGATAGAGGAAGAGGGTCTATGGTTAGTATAAGGTTATTGTTTTGAATGGTATGTTCAAATTCAGAGGAGGCGATGGGGTAGCCTAGTGGTTAAAGCATTCGCTTGTCACGTTGAAGACATAGCTATAAATTCCCCACATGGGTACAATGTGTGAAGCCCATTGCTGGTGTTCCTGCCATTATATTGCTGGAATATTGCTAAAAGCAACGTAAAACCATACTCACACTCACTCAAATTCAGAGTTAACTTTACCTGAATTTAAGAAAATAAAAACTTTCTTTAAGAATTATCCGAACTTTTTAACAAAATCTTTCCCAATTTGTCTGCCAAGGTTTGGAAACCTAGATAAATCATTGTATTATTATACTGTGACCATCAACAGGTGGTATATACAATAAACACAAACCATACTTTGTTAGGCAAACATAGTGGTGGTGTTGGGTGGGGGTTGGGAGGGAAGGAGAGAGAGGTGTGTGTGTGAGAGAGAGAGAGAGAGACAGAGAGACACAGAGAGAGAGAGAGACACAGAGAGAGAGAGAGAGACACCAGAAATGGGTTTCCGACATTGTGCCCATATGGGGAATCGAAACCCCAGCATGACACGTGGACGCTTTAACCACAAGGCTACCCACCACCCATACTTGTACTCAGACAAAGCACTAATTGAAACAGTCCAAGAATGATAAGTGAGTAAATGTTGCCATGTCGGTTCTACTGCAGCTATTCTTGCCTATACACTCTTGGTAAACAGACACGTGTATCCAAGTTCATATATATACTCAGTTCCTTACAGTCAACATTAGTGTGTCATGTAATACCCAACTGTCAAAGAGTAGACACAACAAGCTTTGAATAAACTTGAGTCAACCATCAACTCTCCCTTGGTGAACACAAGTTGCATAACTTCAAGTGCCTACAATGGTGCTCGGTGTGTGTGTGTGTGTGTGTGTGTGTGTGTGTGTGTTGTTTTGTTTGTTTGTTTGTTTTCAAGCAGCGTTCCAAATAATCGGCGGCAGTTTGTATCGGGGGCCAGCAGTTTCAAATATTTGCAGGCCCTTGTGGCCTTCAGTAAATTATCTGTCAATTTGTTTTTCAACAGGAATTTCATGTCATACCATATGTCCAGTGTTGTACTGGTTTATAATGACAGAACTAAACAGTGTGAAACTGTACAGTGTAGTCTATTTTGTTTCTATTGGTTTGACTTTAACAAAATGGGCCTGCAGATTTCATTCAGGCCCTACTGGACAACTGGCAAATGAAAGTATTCCAAACGCTGGGTGGAAGGGAGGGGGTTTTGGGTGGGGGAGTCTGGGGATAACTGCCAAGGGGTATTCTCTGAAGTATCTGAAATAATTCGGAATGTTGACATTTTATACAAATTAAGACTTTTAATCTGACAGCATTAATCTAATCTGGAACATTTCAGAACATTTACCAAGACATTTTCTTTTCTCGGAGGTCAAGAGGCCTACGCGATTGATGTATATCGTATCGTACAATCTCAAGAGAGATAGTGATTAAGAAAAGCGTGAATTTTTAGTATGTAACAAGTGGCCTTGACCTTCAAAGACAGCAAACAGATTTTGCCAGGAAGCTCTCAGAAACAAATTTGGGTCTGTTTCGCAGCAGGACGTAACCAGGGGTAAAACAGACATCTGTTGGATTCATTTAGGAATAATATGTAGATATAAGAGCTCGTGTAGGTTCTACATAGCAACATGGCATATATCTTGATCAGCTGAAATCGAGTCAGGTTTGACAAAAGATGTAGGAACACTGGAGTTCCCAAATATAATGACATTTTCTCACATAGTCTCACATATAATTAGTAGCTTTTTCTGACCGCACAAAACATAGAGGGGAGCATGGTTCTTAACATAACTTTCAACAGACTTCAGGAGTATGATAATGTCCATTACTGGCTCTGTTCCCGTCCCACAAATCGATGTGGCAGTAGAGTGGTCCCGATTCCCATACCAGCCATCCCACTGCTGTAGTCGCTTTGTAGGACAGGGTCAAGGTTACCAGACCGAACAGACATTTAGTTGTACGAGACTCGTAATCGTGGACAAAGTCACAACCTGTTACACAATAAAGGAAAACCAAGGACAATTTGGCCTACAAACAGACAAGTCCTCAGAAATTACAGACCGTAATCAACAGCTGATTACAGGCACACGTGTAAATAATAACCTCTAGGGACACATCAAAGATAATGAAAACACGCCGTTAACTCAAGACAGATATTGCTAACAAATCACCATTATTCGCTGTACCTCATAAATGAAAATTATTGAGTATCTACAGTCCAATATGGACAGCAGATCTCCGAGTTTCGTTTCTCTTCTGGATAATGTTTACGTTTTGACTTCCGGGAAAGGGGACGTAATTATCGTACAATATGAGTTGTCTCCCTTTGATCGCGTATGCACCAACATGTGGCACGCGACGATTAACAACACGTGATACGTGAACAGTTTATAAAATAGCAAAAGTATTTCAATTGTTTATGATAGGTGATAATTTAGTTGTTCATTTAGCTATAACGTGTTTTTTTGCATATAAATATTTCGGACAGTTCGAAGAATACGTCTACAGTTACTTCATAAAATATTTAAGCAATGTATAAACTTTACAAGACACCAGTGTGCGAAATAGCCACTGGCCCACTAGCCAGAGGCTAGTAAAATTCTAGTCGGGCCAGTAAATCTCCACAGTCAGTGGCCCGACTGGCAAGTGAAGGTCATTTTATAAATATATCACTCTCTCCGACTTGTTAAGTTATAATACACTTTTTAATCATGCAAGATTACGGCCTGATAAAAATGTTCACCATCTTAGCTGCTTAATGTTAAAACCCATGTCTCCATTAAAATTTCGGGCTAGTGAATTATTTTGTGGGCTAGTAATTCAGGCATAGCTAGCCCGACTGGATAGCAAACTTTGGAAACTACATTCGAACCCCAATGTCTCGAACTCGGTTGAGACGAATTCTCGGTTGTGTCGAACTCATCTCTGGGTCGTAGAAAACGATGTTATAAGCACTTTGGTCGTGATGGTACTTGGTCATTTTATGCTGACGGATGTGTCGAACATTCGGATAAGTCGAACCTTTTCCTTGGTCCCGAAGAGTTCGACACAGCGGGGTTTCACTGTATTTCCTACACTGCCAGACACAGACAAATATTTCGGAAGAATAACTTTATATATACGCTTAACTTTCAAATATGAAATGAATTTCGTTTTCAGTGGAACCCCATTCACACATTTTACGTTTCATATCAACCTGTAATATTACGATTTAGTGGTAGTGCATGTAATCTGTGTAAACAAAGGGATCATCTCACATTCATTTGATTAAAGGAGGCTATAAGTATAAAAGATGAAAAAATAAACTGATTGTGAGCACTTATGTAACGAACAGAGTTGTACGATATTTGGCACTATGTTGCAAATTGTGCGATTCACTCTCACTTTGAATTCTTAGCCTATTTTTTATTTACGAGAATTCCTGCGTCCTATACGCATAAAAATTGAAAATGGACGCAACAAAATTTATTAGCGCGTCTACAGGGACGCTGAAAAAGTCCAAATACTTTTTGTAAAAATTTCGATCAAGTAACGATAAGTTATCACGGAGTCTGCTGCTAGCCGGGTTATGGTATCATTTGATATTTGATTACTGTAACAATATGATGATTATGATACACAATACAATAACAGTAAGTGAATTACAACAATATTACAACATAGTGTTAATAATATTTAAGTGTCTGGGACCCCCATTTTGTAGTCCAGGACCCCTCAAAATTCAGAGTATGAGACCCACAGACCCTAAAATACAAGACTCAAGGTAAATCCCTTGACTCCATGTATCAAAAAGAATATTACCGTATAGAGTTTCCGTCACTGTTACGGAATATAAATATAAAGGTACTACGTATTATTCATACAATTTTGATAAGCATCAACATCGTTGTCGTCATCGTCATTGTCATCATCATCGTCATTGGGCGGTGGGGTAGCCCAGTGGTTAAAGCGGTCGCTCGTCACACCAAAGACTGACTGACTGACTGAGTTTTGGTTTTACGCCGCTTTTAGCAATATTCCAGCAATATCACGGCAGGGAACACCAGAAATGGGCTTCACACATTGTACCCATGTGGGGATTCGAACCCGGGTCTTCGGCGTGACGAGCCAACGCTTTAACCACTAGGCTACCCCACCGCCCACACCAAAGACGCCGGCTCGATTCACATAGGTGTGTAGCTCATATCCCGCCATAATAATGCTGGAATAGGTCTGAAAACGGCGTAAAACGTTATTCACACACGCGCACACACATTATCATAATCACCATCATCACCATCACGACTGTCTCTACAATAAAAACTTTCCATCCTATCTCAAAGAACTTATCTCCCCTTACTCACCTCAGCGGAATCTCAGATCCTCCAGTGACTATCTCTTGGCTCAACCAAAATCACTAAATGGACTATTTGTACGCGCCTTCTCTTTCGTCAGCCCACAACTCTGGAATTCCCCAAACCCTCAGAAATACAACCACTAAAGACACATTTATATCACAGCTTAAGACTCACCTATTTCTATCTGTGTACCAGTAGATAATCATTCTGTTTTATGTATACGAGGGGGTATCAAAAAGTTCCAATTATCACCAAGAAGTTATTGAGCAATCAGGATAAACGTTTGGCTGTAACATCAGTGATCCTTATCTAGTTAATGGACCAAGTAGTATCTACTTCCCTATATTCAGTCTTGTGCTAGTTGATCATACACACCAGTACCTCCAAGTATGGAGAAGATTGAGGCACGCAGTGTAATTAAGTTCTTGCACTTGATGGGCTGCACTGCACGACAAATTCCCGGTGAGATGAAATCTGTTTATGGTGATGATAGCCCATCCTCTGACACTGTTGTGAGATGGAAAAGGAATTTCCAAACCGGTCACATGTCCCTCACAGATGAGCCAAGAAGTGGACGCCCCTCACTGACTGATGATATGGACGACACCGTGAACAATGTCGAGGCGCTGGTTCAGGAAGATCGCTGTGTAACAATACAAATGGCTATGCATGAGACCGACTTGAGTTATGGCAGTGCATGGAACATCTTTCATAACCAACTGCACATGTCCAAAGTGTCAGCACGCTGGGTTCCTTAGCAGAAGTAAGGCCACTGATGTTTCTGTAGATTTAATTGTTGTTTTGAAATACATATGATAGCTAAAAAACTCTTGTGTGCGAACAAAAAAACACGATCAGGGATTCTATAGAAGAAATACAATAGTTCGCGGTTCAGCGGGACGTCTATGTGATAATGACAAGGTATGGAATTAACTGACTAATTGCATATTGATGTTTTATAATGTACAGAAAACATTGGCGTTGACGTGAAATTGACCTTATCAAATTACAAAACGGCCTGTTTTACTTGTGCCGTGAGCAAAAACAGAAACATCGCCTCGTGTGAATAAGGCATTCATTGGCTAATTATATAGAAAAGACTTGATTCAAACAGGCAATAACCGCTAATTAAATCCCCTCAGTTGGATTTCGAGCAAAGCTACGGGCCGCAGTATTGTGTTTGAGTAGACCTCCCAATAAGCTGCACATTAGCGTGACATATAACACTTACATCAGAACGCAACAGGAAACGCTCTTATCGTACTGGCGATGGAAACAACGTCGAAGCGGATCAAGAATCTTTTCGGTTATTGGTTACGTAACTCTCCTCACCAAGGTAAAAATGTGAAACTACACATTAGGGAACGTTCATAATTTATGGCTAGTGGGGTGTGATGATGATTTTAAGGGGGTGAGGGTCACCCATGTTGTTCTGGGTAGGTGGTAGGGGGTGGGGGAGGAATCATTTTTGTACACATGTACCGCCAGCAATTGTGTACATGACATGCGGGGGAGTGGGGTGGGGCACTTACATTGTACATCAATTTTAGGGGGGTTCATTCACATTGTACTTGTACTTGCTTCTCCATACAAATCATAAGTTGAGCATCAATTCATCTCGAGTTTCTTAAAGCTGGTCATATGAAAGAAGTGCAGACATGAAAGTTCATAAAAATACTCAGAAGTTGTGCGAAAAGTTAGTTCGCCTGGGATTGTTACTATATTGTTCAAACTGGATGTGCCCGTTGCCATTACGAGGGGACGGTGGGGGAGTTTGGTTGTTAAAGCGTTCGCGCGTCACGCCGAAACCCCCGGTTCGATTCCCCACATGGGTATAATGTGTGGAGCCAATTTCTGGTGTCCCCCGCCATGATATTGCTGGAATATTGCTAAAAGCGGCGTAAAACCCAACTCACTCACTCACTCACTCATTACAAGGCAAGGTTCAATGCATAACAGCTGAAGGAATTTCTTACAACATAAAATCGATCGAATGGTATTCGATTCCCTGAATTTGCAAGAATTCATTTGGAATTCTGACGCCGTCGGTTACAAATAAAATAATTCCCGTGCTTCAAATATTCAATAACGCCAGGAAATTGGCCAACACGTGATGTTTACCTCCTACTTACACACCCTGATATATAACATGAGCCGACGCTGTTAGACATATCACTGCGCGACCAAAAGTCGTATACATACATACGTCATTTTATCACAGTGATGTTATTACGTTCACTGATAATTGCCTTCTCTGTCATAGCATGAACCGTTCACCGCGCCATTTTAATCTCTTATTCACCGTTTCTAACTTAGTATATAGGTATACAACTTTAGAGCTTCAAAATTTTGAAACGAATAGCTGTAACAATTAAGATACCTTGTAAAACATGCAGAGCCCCGAATATGATTTTGTAATAGGTTTGGCCCTTCTTAGAAATGCAATCAGCCATGACTATTTCATTTCTTAAATGTTCTTTTAGCTTTTGATTTGTTGAAAATGCCATAGCAACTGTATATGTTACAACGGCCATATCCGATTTTATACGTTACTATGCAACTGGGGGTATTTTATGGCGAAAACGAATTGTACTTGAAAAAATATGTCTCTTTTGATATTCATAAGGCCTGTAAATCATTTCACAGTATCCTTAAATTTTTTCTAATTACTACAATCCAGAGGGGACAAAAACAAACCTTTTACCAGAATGTGAAAAAAATATTATATTCAAGAGGAACGCCGATACGATTTGTGTAGTGGGCTGCGTTCATGGTCGTTATTGAGAGTAACATCCCTTTACTGGCGGGAATCCCAATACATGTATCGAGAAAAATGATTGGACGTTATAATGGTACAGTTATTTTCATTGGTTACAATCTCAAGTCCCCTGTGTTTCTTAGCATCTGCTGTTGTTTGTCAATGGAGGATCGATGGATGTAGGTGTGAACCGGGGGTTTTCAATGGGAGAAAATGAGTTAAAAAATCCGAATCAGGTACGTATCGGACACATCACTTTATATTTCATTAAATCTGTCTCATATTTATACACATTTAGAGATAAATTGGTAATTGTGTCATGTTTCAAATCTGAAGAAAAGTCAAGTACTTTGTGTGACAGCATGCTAGCCATTCTCATTCGCAATCGATCAGTTGATCTGAACGCTAGAGTTATATGTCGGGCGATCAACTTGACTCGGGCCAATACATATCTCTTTGTGGGAGTAGAATATATCGATAATGTGTTTGCCGAGTGTCTGATAGCAGTTTTGTAACGACGAAATCTAACTCTGATAGGCCTATCAACACGTTGTTTTGTAAACATTCGTAGCCAACAGTTATTCCTGAATGTGAATTTTTTCTACTTCCCCTCTTACGGGTATTGAACCACTACGGATATTTAGACACTGTGTTTTTTATGTTGGAGAACGTATTGTGAAATAGCTGCTCTTAGTGTTAGATATGTTAAAGTTTAGTGTAAAAATATCCCGGTGTCGGGGATTTTCGACGATGTAAGACAAAAGTATTTTTTATGTATAATATCATTTAAAGTTTTTATTTTACTAACCTTGAGTGATAAATGATATATTCATCTATTTCACACAAAAATATCAAGTGTTTCTTACAAATATAGCGTTGATGACATCGTATTGTCGAAACTGTTGCCGTTCGTCCAGGGGTGGAAATTGCCCGACGTCCGAGTCCAGTGTTTTTTTTCTGTCGGGCAAGCAAATTTGTATATCATACTGTACCGGTGTCCAGTTGACGTTCCAATGTTAATTATGTTGTTTATTTTAAAAAATCAGGAAGAAAGCTGCCGGTATAGTGGGAAAATTATCAGGGCAAGTGATTTTACATGTGCCACTGTACCGGAGTACACTAGCAATTTTAAAGTTATTTCCACCCCTGTCGTCACATCCGTGGATTTTGTATGGGTTTTCGACGATGAGCCATATTTTTTACTCCACACTGCGAGGAACTGTTGTGATCACATGGCTTCCCATTTATATATTGCCTGTCACAAGCAGACGACCGATCTTAATGAATTTTCGCATGCAATTGTTTGTTATAAAGGCAACTGATTTTGGATCTGAAGTGGTATTAACTATCTCGGGTAAATAATATTGATGTTTGTTTGCTTTTTATATAACTTTACTTCCCGATTTCCATTGTCAATAACACTTCTCACGACAGCGACTGGGCGTCCGCCCTACCAATGAAACTGCTTGTGCACCTGATCGCACACATACTCCCCCGATATAGCGCGAGCAATGCAATCGTCGAAATTACCAGACCGTCGAATTCAGCTCGTGTTGGGATAACTGTTAATAACATGTCCGGTCCGCATGTCCATATAGTGTTCAACTCCAAGTAAATATGAAACAGTCTTTACCTTGAAAGTTGAAGGCTAAACAAGTTAAAAATAGCTCTACAATTTATAAATGGCCACCAGACACCTAATGATAGGACCAAGTTCACAGTGAGGACTATCATATTAATGCCACATGTCTCAGAAACATTTGATCATTATTACAGTGTATCGATTATTGATTCTCATGGAATACTGTAAATATGACCATAAAGTGATAAATACCAACAAATTACAAGTGAGTGAGGGAGTGAGTTTGGTTTTACGCGCCGATTTTGATAATATTCAAGCAACATCACGGCAGGGGACACCAGAAATGGGCTTCACACAGTGTACCCAAGTGGGGAATCGAAGCAGGGTCTTCGGCATGACGAGCCTATGCTTTACCCACTAGGCTGCCCCACAAATTACAAACCTAATGTGGCTTGTTTAATCTAATCAATGATGTGATCATTTGTTTGTCTGATTATGTGTGACCCGTGAAGATCTGTGTTAGATTTGATCTTCAGTAACCCATGCTTGTCGGAAGAGACGACGAACAGGATTGGGTAGTCAGGCTCGCTGACTTGGTTGACACATGTCACTGATTCCCAATTGCGCAGATCGATGCTCATGCTGTTGAACACTGGATTGTCTGGCCCAGACTCGATTATTTACAGGCCGCCATCATATAGCTGGAATATTGCTGAGTGCGGCGTAAAACTAAACTCACTCACTCACTGATTATGTTTTTCATTGTGAGGAGTTAGACTATTTAGCACTTTGCTGAGATTGATAGCAATTGTGAATTTTAAAAAGTTATTATCTTGTTTCATGTTTGATGGAAAGTTAAAGTTTGTTGAACCATCTTGTATTCTTCACATTGTAAACATTTTGGTGTAAAGTTCCATAAACAGTGAAGAAAGTGTAAATATTTTGTTGAGATTCCAGGAACAGGCAATTATGTCTTAAATAAATTGCTTAGATATTTTATATTCTTAGCATGTATTTGTCTGAAGTGCATTTTAAGTCATTCAAACATTACTTATATTCTGGTGCAGAGGTAATATGGTCAATCTTGTGAAAGTGAAAATGAAACAAAGTCAGTTTAAATTTTTTGATGTGAATGACGAAATTTCTGTTTGTGGCTGGATGCATTTGAATAGGTGACATAAGGACCCAGCTTTGTGGATGAATCAGTAGATGATATCTGTACTAGATTATAAATGTTGGGTTGAAACAAATTTGTTCAATTGTTATTTACTCATATTTACATTTAGATCCCAAAAAGTACATCCACTTACAAAATATAGGTATCATCCTCACATCTTTTGTGAAACAGACAGAGGAATCACAAATTTGATGACATATACAGCAACAACATCCACTCAATTTATTATCCCCCGCAACGTGTTTTGCGGGGGTTATTAAAATGGGCTCCGTCTGTGCGTCCGTCCGTGCACATTTGTCTTTTCCGGAGCAGAACTCTAAAACCGTTCTATATTTCTTCACCAAACTTGGCCCATAGATAGATCTGGTGGTGTACTGGTGCCTCTTGGTAGTTTTGGAATTCTGAATAAAATATTTTTGGCATTTCCATGGCAACAAGTTTGACATAGCCTGAAATTGGTGATAGTGCTCCTTTCTGGAGCAGAACTTTAAAAACCTTTCAATACTCTCCTTCCACTTTTCTATATACACACCTAAATATTTGACATAATCATAACTCGTAGACATAATCATGAAGAGTATTTTGCCATTGCGGGGATATTGATGACTTTGTCTTCTTTTATATTTTTGTTTCTTAATGTTTATTTTCAGGGCCATCCTACGTTGAAGTGAATATCCAGTAGAACGAGATGATGGGCAGATGACACCATGTTACCTTAGGAAATCATCTTCAGACATAAAATGGGTGACAGTGAGTTGAATCTGAGCAAGCTGACAGCCAGCTTAGAGGAACTGTCACTACGAAAACAGTTGCCTCTTAGACAACAAGCTCAAAAACCTGTGCTCAAGTATAACACAACGATCACAAAACCCGTCCATCTATTCAGCCAGTCTGATGTTGTTTCCCTCAGAAGAGAGCGACAACGAGAAAGTTCACAGTCCCCACCATCCCGACAGGCGGCTGTCCATGGTGCACTTCCGAGTCGCAGATCCAATCATAGTCTGTCGCCAGTCCGCTCCATAGCTTCTTCAGTGTCCTCCAATAGCAGCTCACAAATACAGCAAGGTAAACCAAATGGAAACCCATACGCACGACCAGTTAGTGCAAAAGAAGTCGCGGAAGACATCTTCGGCCATACTATTAGGAAAAGCCCAAGTACATCTTCTGTCTCCAGTGTCAACAATGCCAGTAATGGCGTCTTACAGCTGAATTCCTTCATGAGACCACAAAGTGCCGCCATGAAAGAAAAATTTGATCAAGCCACAAAAAAAGCCACATCTGCTAGAAAAAACAAACAAAAACTGGAGAAAACAGCTGCAACAGAACTTTATCATGATCTTAATAGAAATGAAGTTCATTTAGAAAATGGATATAATTTGAAATCCGGGTTGCAAAATGGAAATGAGAAGGTGCTGAAAAAACCTCCTATTAGGAGACAGGATGTACAGGGACACAAGCATGGTGTTACAGCTGATATGAAAAGAGTCAGAAATTTGAATTACACCCCCACAAAACCTTATAGTGAGGTGAGCGACACAGATTCTGATAGTGCAAAAGATACCGACAGCAAGCCAAGTAATCGTAGTGTTATTATTTCTCATGCCAAAGCAAGCTCTCCTGCCAGATCCATTCCCCCACAAACCGTCCCAGTAGCTTTGAAGCCTTCTGTGATGAACAAACATTCCAGCAGATCTCCACAAACTTTGACGGCAACAACGACGATGAACACAGACGTGAGTACTCTTGGTAGCGCCAATGGGAAGAAAATGCCTGTAACTAATACTGTCACGAGAACAGTATATTATCAGAAGGGGTCTAAAGGCGAAGAAATTATTCATGAGCAGAGACCGAAAGCTGATGGTGCTCCTGCTGTTCCGAAGAAGATCACAGAGAAGGATGATAATGGAGAGGAGGAAGATGGAGAAGACGAATACGAGGATGAAGAGGAATCGGACACCTGTTCACCATCAGGGTGAGTTCACTTGTCTTCCAGTTTTAAATATCTCTTTCAGTCTTTCAGTTTGGTGAAGAAACTGGTAGGGGCAAGAGGCTCAACGCTTATTTTAGTCCTGTTAGTGTTACACTCCAAATTTAGTGGATATCATGATGGAACATTTGATAACAAGTAGTGGTGGTCCGATTAATTGAAATAATCGAAGATTGGTCGCAATGACAAAACGACCAAGCAATCGATCATGTTTTCTCATAATCGAACACAAACAATTTTGGACCACTTGTTTGCAATAACAATATGTTTCAAAAGGTTGATTTTGTCTCTACATTGCATAAGCACTACAAGCTCGTTCCAAGTCATGATTAAGTTTATCTTAACAACTCCAGGAAATGTATGTTCCTAACACACTAGTCATCCTTTAAAGATGTGAAATTTGCAAATACATTTTGTGCAATTTGCGGAAAAATCCGAGAGAACTACATGTTTTTTCTTTATATTTTGTGCATTAACAAACATAACCAGGAAAATTTGATAAATGACGCTAACCAATTATTTTCAATGATTGATCGGTTGTAATGAACCAATCATCAATTATGAGATTTACACCTATTCCCAACACTAATAACAAGTGAATTTAGAAATGTTTAGAAGTAAAAATCCTAAATAAAGTAAGATTTAACACAAAATTGACATAAATCTAGTATCATGACTGCTTGTGAAAGTACCACGATACGTATCGGGTCAGGAAACAAACACACTGTGTCATAGCAATAGCATGTTATGTGACTACTGGGTGACCTGTTGGATATGTGCCAGTTTTGTTGGTTACAGTAACCATGGTAACTCAAGAATGCTCCTACTGTCCTTATTGTCTGCAGTTCATGAACAGGTGCAGTTGATGTTAAATATCAGGGCTCCATTTAAACATTTAGAACTTGCACTGGTGCAACCTGAAACTGCAAAATGTAACCTTATATTTATGAAACTTGTACCAAGTGTATTTTGCTGTTGAAAGAACACAACTTCAGCCGGAAAACAGTGATTCTGATGACTACACAGACAGTGATATCATGTCATGAAATGTTATGTCGTAGGATAAAATTATCTTGTCAGACCCAGAATAAATTGGTTATAATGTTCAAAGTCAATACCAAAACTCAAACAATGTTTAATTTCATGTTGAAGAACAAGTGCCACCTGTTTTCGTCGAGTGCAACAAAATTATTACCTGAGGTTGCTCTGGGTGCAAGTGGATTATATTTCCTTATATTTAACTATCTCGACCTGAGCTATCTCCATTTTAATACAAGCCCCCAGGTTTAGTTTTATCTAAACTTTAAACAATATCCAAGATTTAGAAAAGGAGAGCTTTTAGTGGTCTAAGAAGACATGAGAACCAGTTTTTTATGGTTTTTGTTGTTGTTTTTGTTTGTTTGTTTTCTTTATGTTGAGTTTGAAGACCAGAACACATCAGTCACAAGGCTTTGTTCTGAGGCAAGGTGTCTGGTTTGACTGTTGTGTTGTAGACTGCTTTCAGTTGAGAACCTTCTACTTGTGAAGCAACAATATGTGAACAGCACCTCTATTGACAAGAACTTCACATATATTGACAGCTGACAAGTGCCATGTTCGCTTCACACATGTACACACAAGTACACAGCCTATTATTCAATCCTGCTGAACGCCCCACAAAGCTGGTAAACATGAAAACTGCGACAAGCTTCACCGAGCACCATTGTAGGCACTTGAAGTTATGCAACTTTTGTTCACCAAGGGAGAGTTGATGGTTGACTCAAGTTGATTCAAAACTTGTTGTGTCTACTCTTTGACAGTTGGGTATTACATGACACACTAATGTTGACTGTAAGGAACTGAGTATATATATGAACTTGGATACACGTGTTTGTTTACCAAGAGTATAGGCGAGAATAGCTGCAGTAGAACCGACATGGCAACATTTACTCACTCATTCATTCTTCTTGGACTGTTTCAATTAGTGCTTTCTCTGAGTACAAGTATGGGTGGTGGGTAGCCTTGTGGTTAAAGCGTCCACGTGTCATGCTGGGGGTTCGATTCCCCATATGGGCACAATGTCGGAAACCCATTTCTGGTGTCTCTCTCTCTCTCTATCTCTGGTCTCTCTCTCTCTCTCTCTCTCTCTCTCTCTCTCTCTCTCTCTCTCTCTCTCTCTCTCTCTCTCTCTCCTTCCCTTTTGCTAAAAGTGGCGTAAAACCACACTCACTCACTCACTATGTCTACTGAAAGAAATTTGAAAATAAAAAAATCTACAGCCTGTACTTCCTTACTGGCAGGACCCGTGAAGATCCGGGTTAGAATTGATCTTCAGTAACCTATGCTTGTTGTAAGAGGCGACTAACGGGATCCGTTGGTAATGCTCATTGCTGTTGATCACTGGATTGTCTGGTCCAGATACGATTGTATACCGCCGCCATATAGCTGGAATATTGCTGAGTGTGGCGTAAAACTAAAGTCACTCACTCCTTTCTGGCAGCCATAACTCTTCTACAGACAACAGTTTTCCTTGGTGAAACATTTGTTAAATAGACATTGGTAATAATAAATCTACAACACTATATACGTTAATTAGTTTGTTTTTAAGACAAGTCCAGAAGATTGAATTCATTAGTCCTCTTTGTTCAGAAGTCATGATTGAATGAGACAAAACTGGTTACTAAGTATATATTATCTCTCAGTTTTATTCAGTTCCAAGTTGTAGAAATGAAGTATTGAGAACTAGTTCAGAACTAAAACTAAAGCAACTCGTCAGTGAGAACTGCTATGATTAGATTTTAGTTGACCTCAGTACCATTTAGCAGTCTCAAGCTAGCACTAGCAGACTAGCGTGTATCTTGAAAACCAAATTTACAGTGTTTATTACACCATAACCTGCTTGAAAATTGCTGATGCAGCATTTCCAGTATTGACATTAATCTTCACCTGATCTCGGCATAATCACATGGTAAATCACCTGACACACTAACATTTGAAACCCGGATTGCCCTTTGATGTGTGATTCAGGTTGCCATGGTTACTAGATATTAGAGTCTGATATAAATATAGATGATATGAAAATTATATCAACTGGCTATAGCTTGGTTGTTATAACTGCATTTACCATATTTACTGTAATAGGAGTGTGAACTGTATAGGAAACAGAAAAGAAACTGCATTTAAATTTTTTGGACCCGTGAAGGTCCAGGATAGAATTGATCTTCAGCACCCAATGCTTGTCGTAAGAGACGACTAACGGGATCGGGTAGTCAGGCTCGCTGACTTGCTTGATTCAAGTCATCGGTTCCCAATTGCGCAGATCGATGCACATGATGTTGATCACTGGATTGTCTGGTCCAGACTTGATTATGGACAGACCGCCACCTGATGTAGCTGGAATATTGCTAAGTGCGGCGTAAAACTAAACTCACTCACCAAAGTCTTTGAGTTATGTTTTGAGTTGTAACATATTCCAATTACTTTAAGAGGGAAGTTGGGTAGCCTAGTGGTTAATGGTTTTGGGGCGGTGGGGTAGCCTAGTGGTTAAAGCGTTGGCTCTTCACGCCGAAGACCCAGGTTCGAATCCCCACATGGGTACAATGTGAAGCCCATTTCTGGTGTCCCCCGTCGTGATATTGCTGGAATATTGCTAAAAGCGGCGTAAAACCAAACTCAGTCAGTCAGTTAATGGTTTTGCATGTTGCATCAAAGGCCGAGATTTGATTCCACGCAGGAGTACAGTGTGTGAAGCCTGTTTCTGGTGTCCCTTGACATATCTTTTGGAATATTGACAAACAAATAAGAAGACAACAGACAAAGCCTGTGCCAAAAATGTTTGAGTCTTCAGCATTCATCATCATCAAGTAGATTTACTACATGCATGTCCAGTGTTCAGAAATAAACACGGTTCCCAATTGCGCAGATCGATGCTCATGCTGTTGATCACTGGACTGTTTGGTCCAGACTCGATTATTTACAGACCACCACCATATAGCTGGAATATTGCTGAGTGTTGCGTAAAACTAAACTCACTCACTCACTCACTCAGAATTAAACATGGAAGTCTTAGCCCAAATATTGAATGTTGAACATTTGTGGTGGTTACATTTAAATACTATCCATGCATGTCAAACATTGCTAGACTCAGACTTCAGGTAAGCATATTTTCGGCCATGCTGCAACACTTTAAGACATAAACTTACTCCCCTGAAACCAGCTGAACGTGCTGAATTATATTTAACTCAATAACTGAGAAATATATTTTAAGACATCTTGCTTGTTCAGTATTTCAAGTGAACAATATATATATTGTTTTGGCCTGGGCCACAATCATTCATTTCTTAGATTCTTAAAATACATTATTTATTATTATCTATCAAGGACATCAGGCCACAAGTTAACTGTGTAACCCCCAAATCCCAGGATTCCGGTTTACCATTAGTCTGCTGGTCAAAGACAAGTAACATTCAGGATTATCTTGCCTCACACATAAATGTCGTTTTCTGATTGGCTGAGCGCTCTTCTATTATTTTCAATGTACCCCGCTAACAGCTAAACAAACGAGTAACATTTTCTATGTACCCCGCTGGGAATGCTGAACTCATTTGGAACTTCATAATTCATAGTAGTAATTCTTTATCTCGAATAACATAATCACTTCGGGCTCAGGGAACATAAACAAACATCGAGGGTCCCCTTCGAGACCAGTGAACAACTTATAATGGCAAGTGACATTTCCTTGTAGACTGCCATTTTTACCATTAGGTGATGGGAATTCTGAAGACGTGTTTTCAGACTAAGGAATCAAAAGTTAGTTTGAAATTTCAATCCACGTTTTTGTTTGCCTTTAAGGGTTTCATGACAGCAGTGTTCTCCTTCAGACCACATTTGTGGTAAGGAACTCATAGCAATATACATAAACACATCAAAGTCTCCATGTTCCGTGTCTTTAAATCTCCCCCTTTCTCCTTCCATCCCAGTGATGAATATTTCATCTCAACTGGTTT